TTATGGTTACGCCTTCGGAGGACATACCGGGCATTCCGGACCACCCGTACGGCCGGTTGTGTACACCTCCGCGACCGTCAACTCATGAAAAACGGGTCGATATTATGGAACCGATCGGTGAGAACCCGACGCCGGCACCCAATGGCACCCATTTGTTACGGCCGCCCATATATGCCGTCCAATTCTGTCACAAATCTATGTATCACTCGTTTGGCCACTATTTGCCCGAAGTTCAGTGAATCGACGCTTAAAACTGATCCCATTATATGTCATACAATTACAGTATAAAATATTTAGTAATTATTATTTATGACACTAAAATGTGCATGTTCATATTTTGTGAATTAATAATTACATCAAACATTCAATAATTGTAAAACCGTTCAATTTTTAATTCTCATGTTTCAAAATCAATTACAAATTGTCGTGAATGTGAATCACCCACTCCTATGAATATTCCAGTCAACCACCATCATGACTTCGATGAGCTCACACACCACTCACCACTCCTATACATCACCTCATGTGCATACGATATGCACATAATCTACTCATCATTTATCATTACCTTAATGTCATTATACCCTATATAAGACTCACACACTCTCTGTACTAATCGCAGTCTATTATAAGTCGTCTTCGAAGGCATTACTCTTATTAATAAATACTTGTTTTATATGTTAAGCGAGTGTAGCGTTATTTAGCCCTCACTTAGGGGTTAATACCGTCGGCGACCACACCTAATAGTTGTGACAGTAGTGGTCATACTTCGCCCGTAAGTCTGCTCATTACCGATCGCGACAAAATAATTATTCAAATAAAAGCAACGCTTTATTAAAACCCAAATTAAATGATCGTAAAAGCGATGTTAGCGACGGATCCGTCGCTAACTCGATGCCTTTTGTTTGAGTGGTCGCGAATAGTGGCCTCTTTGAAGCACTTGCCGGCGCCCAACACTGCCGAACACACGGGACAACAGGGAGAGTAGTCTTTCCAGAAGTAGAACCGAACAACGCGTTTCCCGTTTAGCCGTCGGACGTCGCGAAAGGACGAGCGCTGATAGTGGAGCCAACCCTCTGCCGAGCCTCGAGTCGTCATACGCGGCCCGAATCGGTGGCCAAATCGCTTCACAGTCTGCGGCACCTCAACGACGGCTTTACTGTGTTTCCAGTCCACGTCTGGCGGGTCAGCGATGTCCGCCGGTATGACTCGATTCGGCTGCCGGACAGCGAATCTGCGCTGAAGTTTGCCCCACAGAGCGAACCTGTCGATCGGGCCGAGCGTTTCGGCCGATCCGCCGCCAGACGACGGGCCGACGAGCGACCGATCCGTGAACTGGCGGTCAGTGCGGACAGCGGTCACCGCAACGTCGGGCGTATTAAACGCGGCCAAAACCCGATCCATAGTTTCTTTGTGCGAATCAAACCTAAAACCGACAAAATTGTGTTCACATAAAAAAAATTCATTGCATTAAACAATACATACGTTTTGCATAATTTTCCGGACGCTGTCTTCAGCGCCTCGTGTTGTGTCCGCAGACTCTCATAATCGGTGTTTCTCTTAACCAATTCCTCATTAAGTTTGACCACTTGTTGCCGAAGATCGGGACACGACTCGCATTGATGGACAGCCGGCGAAGTGCCGGTAGTGACCACCGCTTCACACTTTGGTTTACTCTTAGGCTCGCACTTAAGCTCACACTTGGGCTCACACTTTACCACTCTTTTGATGTCAGCCTTCGTGTCGTTATCGGAAGTGTTGGTTTGAAACGAAGACATTTGTGACTTTGGATCCCCAAACTAACCTAGTGCACAAAATAATAATTTATCAACATTAATTCGAATTAAAAATCAAATAACATTTACAATATATTGATGAAAACGTGGTTAAAATAAATGGCAATACTATTGTGAGGATATAGTGGCGGATATGGAAATAATAGCCATATTATAGCCATAGTTACAACTGTGGCCATAATTGGTCATTAATTGTTGACACGATAGACGGCGCCGACTATTGTGCGATATGTGTGCGGACGGGCCGACGGCGGATCCGCCGCTTCAAAGTTAGATATAGTTAACCCTCGATTCACGCACTCGACTCATACAAACCGGTAAATACATACACCATATCATGTCATACCCGAAATATCGGTACTTCGGGACCAGTAGGAGGGGTGATGTTCAGTCGGTTTAGCTACACGGTTGCAGACAATTGAGGTTTATATCAAGTACTGCAAAGGTGACCGAAAACAGTGGTGTTAATAGTGTGCCCATAAGTCCTAACAAATAAATTGCATTCAAAAACTGTGACAAACTTTTGTCCGTAAGTAAAGATCCAAAGATTCGGATACAGCGGACGGCGATAATGCCGGCGGCCATCAAAACGTTGGTTAAGTGGTAACCCCAACAGATCATGATCGTTTTATAGTTTTATTGTTTCAATTTTTATTGATTTAAATGTTTTACAAATTTTATTTATATTTTACCTTTCAATGAATTGATAAGAAATTTAATTTAAATAATGAAATAATTTTATTCAAATATTTTAAATACGAATAAATGTGAATATTATATAACATACAATACAATAGGCATTACCATAAGCTTATAATTCAGCCTTTTGTTATTAATTTATAATTTTAATTGAATATTTAATTAGCTAAATTCAAATTCCAATTAAGGTGAGTTAAATATAACGTACAATCGATTATACGGTAAGAAAAAATGTCATAAATTAGTATTAAAAATAATAATAATAATTTCAAAAGTACAGCAAAAAAGTATAAACAGAATCAATGGTAGAAACAAACAAAATGTCATAGAATTAACGCATTTGCGTACAAAAGCGTGTGTTTTTGATGGATTAATCTCTTCCAGAACTGACCAGTTGTAGGATCATTAGGAATATATAGACGATATCGACGTATAGCATGATTGAGGCCATGACGTACTCTTCGGGACTGATCTCGTACTTCTTGCCGCCGGTGATCAGCTGTGTGTCGTACGCCAAGAACTGCACCGCAAATACAAACAAAACAGTGTTATTATTGCAAAACATGAGTCAAACCATACAAATGACGGCACAACACAACACAACACATACCAGCATAAAGATGACGGTTCCGATGCCCGCGTAGAGAATGTATAGGATCTTTGCTTTGATGAATATCATACAGATTCCCATTATAAACAGTCCCAGACATGCGATACTCAACGCCCACCCGAACCGAGTGAAGTCAAACTGTGTGTTAAGACAACAATTAGTTATCAATTATGCAAAACTAATTGCATTCAAAACTTATACATACTTTAGTCCAGAAGGAGAGGACAGAGACGGCGGTACAGCAGACGGCGGTAATACCGGCGGCGATCAAAACGCTGGTCAAGTCGTGAAATGAGCAGATCATTGCCACCATAAAACTCAGCGCAATTGTCTGTCAAAATAACCATTAAAATTCAATTAGTAAACCTCGTTATAACGAAGCAAAGTAAACGGCGCTTACAAATAGACCAAGTAGTATAAAGTTGGTCGGGTAGTTACGTCGGGGTCCTTTGCAACACATCAACGTTATGTACAGCGAGAAAAACACAACACTATTTGAAATTTGGGTATAATTATGAACACAAATTAACAATTATAACAAAATACTGTCATTTAAGACAATAATCTATTGGATTAAGTGTTTAATCCGTTTTAAATACAAAAAAGTACACATACTATGAGACATAATAGAGCCAAATGTTATGCCGAACCCAATTCTTGAGGGCAGGCCTAAGAGAGATATATATAAATGTATTACAAAATTATGGGATCAGTTAAACATAGAGACGATAACACATACGTGAGGACAACAACCGCTGTTATGCCAAACGTGATGAACAGCTGAATACTGAGAATCGAGTAAACCTTTTGGACAAACATTCGCCGTATATTCTTGTCCGTAAAACCGGCCCAATTGTTCACATCGCTCTCATTGGTGGTCACATTCATGTTATGGGAACCGCCGGCGCCGCCAGTGTTGTAATTAACGTACGGCTCACTGTATTTGGGCGGCTGTTCGCCGGCGGGCATCGCGAAACCGGGTGGCGGTTGACCACCAGCTATACATCCAAAGACAAAACATACGTTTAGATCAATTAAGTGATCGACAATCAAATGTCTGAATATAATACTGACGCGGATATTGTCCGGCAAACTGTTGCTCATACGGCGTTCCGTAACCCTGAGAGTAGGGCTGGCCGTAGGCCTGTTGTTGAGGGAATCCCTGCTGTGGCGGGTATTGAGGGTATGACATGTCGATGATGTGTGGATCAGCTCTTCAGACAGTCATCCAATGGCTGAGTTTTCAATGTATTGATGGAGCACTGGTTGTTTGGCTCGGATTTCACCACTATTTCACTGATATATCTAATAGTAAACAATGATATCGTGTTTAATATAAATATCAGATTAATATAAATAATAATCGCATACAAAATGTGTGATTCATTTGTCATGAATTTTATGATTACAATAAAATTAAGTAATAATTTTAATTATTAAAAAATGTAATAAAAACCATGAATGTAATAATAGATATGGCATTACATGTCAATTGCCATAAACAGTAGTGTAATTAATAAACTGCTAATTTATTTACTAGTTATCAATACATCACATCTGCTCTCTCTCTCTCGATATACATGTATATTATATAATAAACCCCATTATAACACACTATCGGTTGAGATAAAAGTACAATCGCTATANACTATAGACTTGTATTGACTTTCGTTTTGTATGTGTTAAAAGTTTTTTGTCTTGTGTTTAGTTTAGGTTTTGCTCAAGACTTGTATTTTTGTGTCGATAATGACTCTCTCTCTCTCTCTCTCTCTCTTTCATTGAAAATGAATGACATTTTGAATGTAATAAACAAAATAAAATGTAAATGTATTTCAAAAAATGGGATTTAATGCTAAAACATATGACAAGTAAAATATACGGCAAACCTTTTGACACCAAAAATCAACACTCAATGCAATAGTTGTTAACACAAAATGATTTGTCAATTAATAGCTGTATTAACAAAACGCTTGGATTAATAGACACTCAAAACGTTAATCACAATCAAAACAAAAACATTGAATGGATTCGCAAAATAACAGACAAAAGCATTGGTTTCTATGGGATTGAGATTCACTGCAATACTAAACACACAGACATTGCGAACGCATTGAGTGTTTCGGGGGTTTGTATTGGGATTTGTATTGCATTTCGTAACGCAATCAATACATGACGTCAATTGACTTTTCAACAAACTTTTCTCACTTTAATAACTAGTTTTTTACAACTATTTTCTCGACAATTCATTCAATATTAACAAACATTGATTTGATGTCTAATTATATAATGACTTATTTTACCTGTAATTTAGCCGTCGATTACAAGTGTATAAATAATTTCGCGATAAGTTTTTGGCTATTTTTTATAGCGATTGTACTTTTATCTCAACCGATAGTGTGTTATAATGGGGTTTATTATATAATATACATGTATATCGAGAGAGGAGTGAACACAATATACCGGTAATTGATTACACGTATAATACAAGTAGTATTTAATCGATTAAATATTAATATTTGGGAAATAAAGTGAGTTTCCAATGTATTTCATGTATTTGTAGTAAAATTAATAGTATTTTAATGATTGTGAAAATGTTATTAAAAGTTTTGCATTAAATAAGTATTGAATAAATAATTGTCAAATTGTTTGCTATATTTCTAATGAATTATAGTAAAACATTGAAATGAAAGTGTCCTTGGTGTTTATTAATAAACATAATTATAATTCATTAACAAATGGTTAAAAACATTTCGTTGTTTACATTAATTTCATATTAAAACGATTGGGAATATTCTCGACAACATATACCATACAAATGGTAATCAAAATAAGTGATTATAAAAAATACAAATTTTTAAATTAATAAAAACTTTATTTTCAAATCAATCGATTATATGTTATATAATAAACAGATTTTTTTCACATTAAAATACACACGAATAATATATTCTCACATTTTATTGTCATTTAAATTCAGTAATATTTGGTAACAAATTATATTATTATTAATAATGAATTAATATTATTATAAAATTAAAATTCAATTCTTAAATATTTCAATCAATCGTAAATTTCTACCGAAAAACATATCGTATTTCTCGATAACAAATGCCGACAAAACAAAACGTATTGTTTTCTTCAGTACTTATTGATCCCAAGAACTCTCACGCCATGAAATTGAGGTAATTTTGGTAACAAAACCATCAGAAGTGCTATGAAATTGACCACAAAATGGAAGGAATCGTATTTCGTGTAAAAACTTGTCAGAAAAAACCTAAACATTGGATCAAATAAAAAACCATTAATCAAAGTAATCGACTATTTTTGGACTCAACACCAGTTATCAGTTTTTAAAGTATTCAATTTGTAAACAAATGTTAACCTAATCTATCGACTCGAGAGTACGGGCAGAGAGAGAGAGAGAGAGAGAGAGAGAGAGAGAACATATATCAGTGAAAAGAGGTTTTCATAAGTTATACTCACAATCTCTTTCTCTCTCTCTCTCTCTCTCTCTCTCTCTCTCTCAAAATCTCCGATAAATTTATATGAAATTAATTCAACACTTAATAGCGTTTTATTAGTTTTCAAATACCGATTATATACTGCATGTCTAAAGTCGTGATTATATAATTTGGATTTTAATACTCGCTATTATGTAACCAAAAATATATAGACTATTATTTTATATGAAAATATTTTTCTCAAAATGTTTATATTTTTAGTATAATAATTGAATTAGTTTTGCAACAAAGCATTTGATTTAAATATAAAACAATAATTCCTATCAATTGTATTAAACAATAAAATTTATATATTATAAAATTGCATCATGCAACGTTATACATGCAATCTACATGCAAGTATTTTACGTACATTAACCATGGAATTTAATCACATTAACTATGCAATTCTTATAATAATGAAGTTAATGCTTAAGTTTTGTATGAAAAAATCACACAAATGTTTACACATTTATCCGTAGAGTTACCGGTAGTACACCATTGGGTTTGATGTATAAAAACCCTTTGTTATAAAACCCATCGTTTTATTAAAATTTAACGATTGTTTAACCCATCGTTTTTCTTAAGTCTCTCTCTCTCTCTCTCTCTCTCTCTCTCTCTCTGGAATGTGAAGTGTTTTCATTATAAATATATGCGTTAAAAATGATAAACTATTTGCACAAAAACCCCTTTTCCTCATACATTACATAACATAATATATGCCCCGAAACCAAATAATGATGATATGGTGTAGAGTAGACCCCCGACTATACATCTATTGAAATCCCCGCATATATTGCCAAATATAATGCACTAATATATGTATCCCAACACTGATATCATAAACACTGATAGCCAGTGATTTAATTCATTAAAACACAAGCCTTTTATTAATTCAAAAGTACAGTAAAACAACATTATTTCTCATCTCTTTCTCTCTCCGTTTCGCTATCGGAATACTAATTAGAGAGAGAGAGAGAGAGAGAGAGAGCTATGATCTTATAGATAATATCGGGGCATATATTATGTTATGTAATGTATGAGGAAAAGGGGTTTTTGTGCAAATAGTTTATCATTTTTAACGCATATATTTATAATGAAAACACTTCACATTCCAGAGAGAGAGAGAGAGAGAGAGCTATGATCTTATAGATAATGAGGATATGAGAAGAAATTTCCCTCATTTAATGTATTCAACAAAAAGGTTTTTACATAAAATTCAAACAAAACTCGCTAAAAGTTGTATATTTATAACAAAAAAGTTGCATTTAATTTGCTTTTTAAATGATTTGCACTGTATTTCTCGTATACTTTGAGTACTAAACAATTGTCTTCATCTGTAATGCAATAATAATAACACTTTTTTGAATGAAAAATACACTATAATTCACTAATATATACCTACATAAATAATATTAAGTACACTACACAAAAGTATGTATAGTATTAAATGATATACACCAAAAAAAACTTGGTTATTCAGTTCTGTATGCATAAGTGATAGTTTGAGTTTTAAAATAAATTACATTTTGTGTTTTAATGATAATGAATTGATTGTGCAATACATACATACTTATAGTATAACATACAGTGAAACCTATCATCAGATATACGGCTAAATAATTATTGTGATTAACATTATTGTGATTATCATTATTATGATTGCAATTGTATGACAACTCTTTACTCATACTTTCGATTCACATAATTATTATTATGTTTTGTTTAAAAAATGCATTTTTTTCTGTGAATTAAATGATTGTTATAATCATTTGTCTTCAAAAAATATTTATATTTAGATAAGACTTACATTCGGTAAGAGAGAGAGAGAGAGAGAGAGAGAGAGAGAGATTCAAATGACAACTAATAATAGATATTAAAGCAAAAACAAAGAGATGTTTGAATTTTTGTGAAACATTATAACATTTTCTATACATTAGACAATTTTGGTAACATTTTTATCTTTATTATAATTATTGTTTGTTAAAAATTTATTATATATTAAGTTTTTTATTCATTTACTATATTTCCATATTAAGTTACGAATTACTAGATTTTAATAGTATTTTATAAATATTGCAAAGTATAACATGTTTTAAAAATTAAAAGTATTTATACAATACATTATATTTGCAATTCACATGCTATTCATTAAAAGTCAATTATGTGTATAAAAACAGAGTTTATGAATAAAAAGTAACAATAATTTAATTCAAATTTTGCGATTAAAATGAAATAATATAAACTGATTTTAATTTTTTAAAAAACTATTTATTACTTTCATTTCGTGATTTCATTAAAAGGTTTTGTGTCGCAGAAAATTAAGTCAAATGAAAAATAATAATACTTTTGGTTTTATTTTATATTTTTGTTTTTTGTTTTGCTTTTTGTTTAAAAGAAAATTATAGAAATAAGTGAAACAAAAATGTTTTGAATTTCGTTATTATTATTAATTCTGTTTTCTATTCGTTAAGTGAATAAAAATAATAAAATTAATTATAATTTAATATTTTTAATTAAGTCAAGCATTTTTGTGTCAAGAATATTCTGGTCTCTCTCTCTCTCTCTCTCTCTCTCTCTCTGAAAAATGTAAAAACATAAAATAAAATGTACCAAAAGAAAAACATGGTATAAATTGTTATTATACTAGCATTTTCAATTGTCTACATATCCAAATCAAATTGTGCATGTTATATTCTTCAACCACATTAGTACATCAGGATATATACATTATTTACAACTGAAGCCAAGTTTACCATATAGTGTACAAATGCATAAACTAATACATTAATCACAATTACCCGTCGCATCCATATCTACATCCCATGCCATCCATAGCACCAGACAGTGATATATAGCGGGAAATACATAATAGACAGACAGATATAGATATAGAGATAACGTATGAAGTTTTTTAGACAACCATTAAAATAGTTGTCACACCTGTTGTGCCAGAAAACAGGTACACAAACGCTGTCTAATAATAATACTATGAGATTATAATAATAGCATTTCAAACACATATACAGTGAGAGAAAGTAAATGTTGAGAAATGGTGTTTAAAGTTGTTTTATTTTTGCATTTTTTGTTGAGTTTTGTTGTTTTTTGTGTGAATAATAAATAAATAAATTATTACTGAATTTTAAGAGAGAGAGAGAGAGAGACGACTAACTTATTTAAATACAGAGATAACAAAAATAAAAACTTATTTTTGAAATTTAAAATAAAAGTTTCATTTATTTTTCACCGTCTGTTAGTCCTATCTATGAGTTTAAATATACGGCAGACTTATCATATTATTTAACTATTATAGTATTTAAATAAACATTTAATACATATTGAAATACTATTGAATAATTCATAAACCATTTTATGATTATCTTCTCACTTACGAAACACACAAATTATAAATAAATCTAAACACAAAAAACACAAACACTTATAAGAAATAAACGGAAAAATATTTGTTATTTGCATTTGTTTTTCAACTAGTTTGCACAAAATCACAAATTGTTCATGATTAAAAATTATCAACACATGTATGGGCACAGGGCATACATCGGGTCGCAAACTGTCGGTGCCATTGACTACCTGTCCAGCCCTTATCATAATGTTGTGAGAAACTCATTAAATTATTTTTACAAAATAAAGTACTAGTATACAATTAATTTACGAGTGATTTTATTTTTTAATAAATCTTTTTATTATACCGACAGAATAATAGCATTTATTTTTNCATTATATAAAGTGTTACATTAAATAAAATTAAAATATAGACTTAATTTGCCATTTGTTGTAAATTTTGTATTTTTATAATACATTTATAATAAAAATAAATGCTATTATTCTGTCGGTATAATAAAGAGATTTATTAAAAAATAAAATATCTCGTAAATTAATTGTATACTTTATTTTGTTAAAATAATTTAATGAGTTTCTCATAACACTGTGATAAGGGTTGGACAGGTAGTCAATGGCACCGGCAGTTTGCGACCCGATGTATGCCCTGTGCCCATACATGTGTTGATAATTTTTAATCATGAACAATTTGTGATTTTGTGCAAACTAGTTGAAAAACAAATGCAAATAACAAATTTTTTTTTTGGTTTATTTCTTATAAGTGTTTGTGTTTTTTGTGTTTAGATTTATTTATAATTTGTGTGTTTCGTAAGTGAGAAGATAATCATAAAATGGTTTATGAATTATTCAATAGTATTTCAATGTGTATTAAATGTTTATTTAAATACAATAATAGTTAAATAATACCATAAGTCTGCCGTACATTTAAAATCATAGATAGGACTAACAGACGGTGAAAAATAAATGAAACTTTTATTTTAAATTTCAAAAATAAGTTTGTATTTTTGTTATCTCTGTATTTAAATAAGTTAGTCGTCTCTCTCTCTCTCTCTCTTAAAATTCAGTAATAATTTATTTATTTATTATTCACACAAAAAACAACAAAACTCAACAAAAAATGCAAAAATAAAACAACTTTAAACACCATTTCTCAAGTAAATGAAAGAGAGTGACATATACACAAACTTTACGATAATAATATTAGAGTATCATAATAATAATCTGTCGCAAACACATGGACAAAAGACCGTGTTGTCCACACTGTTGATAAAATTACCAACACTAAAAAACTTCATACGTTATCTCTATATCTATATCTGTCTGTCTATTATGTATTTCCCGCTATATATCACTGTCTGGTGCTATGGATGGCATGGGATGTAGATATGGATGCGACGGGTAATTGTGATTAATGTATTAGTTTATGCATTCGTACACTATATGGTAAACTTGGCTTCAGTTGTGAATAATGTATATATCCTGATGTACTAATGTGGTTGAAGAATATAACATGCACAATTTGATTTGGTTATGTAGACAATTGAAAATGCTAGTATAATAACAATTTATACCATGTTTTTCTATTGGTACATTTTATTTTATGATTTTACATTTTTCAGAGAGAGAGAGAGAGAGAGAGAGAGAGAGACCAGAATATTCTTGACACTTTTTACGAACTGAATTAATTTTTATAATTTAATATTAATTAAAATAATAAAAATAAGTGAATTGCTTATCTTTTGTCTTAATTATTATTATTGCTTTAAGTTTTGTAAAAACAAAGTGAATAAAGACTAATTTTCTTTTATGTTAAACAAAAAGCAAAACAAAAACAAAAATATAAAATAAAACCAAAAGTATTATTATTTTTCATTTGACTTAATTTTCTGCGACACAAAACCTTTTAATGAAATCATGAAATGAAAGTAATAAATAGTTTTTTTAAAATTAAAATCAGTTTATATTATTTCGTTTTAAACGCAAAATTTGAATAAAATTATTGTTATTTTTATTCATAAACTCTGTTTTATACACATAATTGACTTTTAATGAATAGCATGTGAATTGCAAATATAATGTATTGTATAAATACTTTTAATTGTTAAAACACTTATACTTTGCAATATTTATAAAATACCATTAAAATCTAGCAATTCGTAACTTAATATGGAAATATAGTAAATGAATAAAAAAAACTTAATACATATATAATAAATTTTATAACAGACAACAATTATAATAAAGATAAAAATGTTACCAAAATTGTTTAATGTATAGAAAATGTTATATTGTTTTACAAAAATTCAAACATCTCTTTGTTTTTGCTTTAATATCTATTATTAGTTGTCATTTGAATCTCTCTCTCTCTCTCTCTCTCTCTCTC